TGGCAGTGATTTTGACCTGGCGTCGGAGTTTCTCCTGTGGAGCAGTCCTGGATCTTAACCACAGAATTGCTCTTGGCGGCCCAATGCATACCCTACAGCACCACCAAGACTCTCTGTGCTTCTGCTTTAGTTATTGCAGCAAGTGTCATTTGTAAAAGTTCCTAAGTGACACTGCTCTTGCACAGCCAGGCAACAGAGATTGAGAAAGAAGGACTGAGGAGAGGTAATCTTAATAGAAATATGTAAAGTAATTTGTTATAAATTTTGAAGTAAGTTCATGGAGTAAAAGTTAGTTTGTTTTGTAAAATAGAAGTCATTTATTAAGTTCAGTTTATTTTAGTTTTTGTGTACTGGTTGGCTAGTTTAATGACATAAATTATCAATGGGTTTGTAGAGAGAATAGATTAATTGGAAGGTAACAATATTTACCACTTTGAAGACAGTTTGAAGTATAGGGAATGGCCAAATAGATTATTACCAAAATCAGTAGATCATGGAAAATGTATTTTAGAGCAAATGGCTATTTAGAATATTGCTACAGCTAGACTTGACTTTGAAGAGACATCACTAATTTTCAAAGATGTTTATGTATTTTATGCCACAAAGTGCACTACACTGAAGTTCAGTGATTTGAGTATCACATCTAATGATTTATAGCAAAGTAAATGCTTCTAATATTTCTTCTCTAGGGTCCACACACTTATAGATAATCAACACCAAATTTTTGCTAATTTTTTACTGATTATTTATATAATAATATTTAAGTGCAGCAGAGAATGCAATAGGATATTCCCAGATACATAAATTATATTAAAATCATATAAGTGTCAATAGAATACTTTAAGGAAACCAAGAATACATTCAAGGAATAGACAATTAGAAATCAAATTATAAGGGAAAATTCTGAATCTATTTAACATGATCTCACCGTGGGATTGTGCTTAGGTTACCTGTTTTTAATGTAAATTATAAATGTAAAAATCAAGATGTCATATTAAGATATCATTGTGTATTTTAATAAATACAGTGCTACAAATTTACGGAGAAAGGGGTAATTCTTCCTCTGAGATAAGGGGAAAGAGAAACAAAAATAAAAGTGAAAGAAAGCATATAGTGGAGAAATTGAGTATCTCCTCTTCTTATCATTTGAGATAATGAGCTAACCTGAAAGAGGAGGATTGGGAGAGTCATAGGAACTGAGGGACAGCTGGGAAGAATGTGGGAAGTGAATAGCAAGGTGGGGAAGAAAGCTGGTCAGACTTTGGACACATTGTGAGGGGAAACCATTCCCTGGAGAAGGACATCATGCTTTAGAAGTCGCGGGGACGTGAAAAAGAGGAAGCCCTGAGACTATGGATTGACTCAGTGGCTGCACACTAGGTTCAAGCATAAGACCATGTATGGAGATGGCAAAGGAGTGGGCATTGCCTCACTCTGTTGTACATAGGGTTGCTATCCATATGAACTGACTCCACAGAATCTAATGAAAATAAATGATTTTAAGAAATTTTATTCTCCTTGATAATTAAGCATGTCATTTGACTGAAATTACCTAATATACTGGACCAGACTAGAAGTCAACAGGGCCAATATTGTGGAAACTGCTTAAAGACACACATTTCTAACACAGATGAATGGGAATTTTCTTTTGTTTTTTAAATCATTTTATTAGGGGCTCATACAACTCTTATCACAATCCATACACACATCAATTGTGTAAAGCACATTTGTACATT